CGGTCAAGGTGTCTGCCGGAACTGGAAGTCTGTCTGAGATGGCTCTTCCCACTGGTGCAGAGCCTCAGACCCTCACCACCTGGGCTTTCTACAGGGTGCCTGAGTGTCCTCACAACATGACATTTGGCTTTCTTAGAAGGAGGAGTTCAAATGAGGGCAAGGTGGAAGGTATACTCTTTCATGAGCGAGCTTTGGAAGTCACATACTGTCACTCTGCCCCATTCCTTCTAATTATTAAAAGGGACTTAAGTTCAGCCCACAATGGAAGGGAAATTAGACTCCACCTTTTGGGGATAGGATTGTCAAAGAAATTGTGGATGTATTTTAAAACTACCACACCAAGAAACATTTGAATTATTATTATTTTAATTTGATTCATTAGTATAATTTTTCAATTTGATCAGAGAGACACAGAGAGAGAGAAAGAGAGAGGAGGGAAAGCCAGCCACTAGGTCCAGGACTCGAACCACAGTTGGTCACATAGGAGTTCAGCACCTCTATCACCACACTACCTGCCCATCCTGAAATATTTTAAGTCAGTTTCTAGGTAGTTGGATAACAGGAAAAGAGATTAAGAACATTCAGTTCTGGAAAGCTCTGTCCCTTGGCAGGGAATACGTACTGGGCTACTGTGAGTTTGGCTAATGTGGGTCAGTTCTCTAGGTCCCGATCAGCTGTGGTTCAAAGCTGAGGACTAAAGGCTAATGTCTGAGCTGTGACTCCCTGTGCGTCCCTGCCGCCTCACTTACTCCCTAATGGTAAATATAATAGGCTCGCCCATTCTTAGAGCAAGTCAGGAACGGGTGAGGGGGGCATCCTCCACATTTTAAATGGTGGGAAGTGAGACTTGCCACAGAATCCCGAATCCTGACCAGGGATCGCCAGATCAGACTGCTCAGAGCCTCCGAGGAAATACCGTCTTCTCAACTCTCTACCCAAACCCACTCCTTCCTACCCCGGTCTACCCCAGCACGCGCAGTGCAGAGCACGCGCAGTGCAGAGCACGCGCAGTGCAGAGCACGCGCAGTGCAGAGCACGCGCAGTGCAGAGCACGCTCACAGTCTCCACGGTGTTGGCGGAATTAGCTGTCTGGCTCCTTCTCCAGTTATTTTCTTTTTTGCTATAGAACATGTGCACTCCCAAAAGAGAGAAAGAGAAAGTCCTCCCACGGGGGATAGACATGCCACAATTCCCTCTTCTCTTCTCAGGATTCTGGGCACTTGGGGCCAGGTCTGCCCCTCAAGTCTCCAGGTGTGGATCTCGAACTGGGAGCCAGCTACCCTAACCACCACGCCACTGGGTGATGGTTTTTGTACCTTGTACTGTAGTCCTTAGACTAGATTCATGGCGAGGAGAAATACGACAGTATGTGACAGTATTTACACAGTGACTGGCCTACGGTTAAGTCCTCTCACCGTATAAGTTTGGGGGATTATTCTCGTATTCAGCCTCTCCTGGCTTAGCACAGCGAATACTTACTTAAAGGAGAAACCATTAATAACTGGCACCCAAAGGGAGGACTTGAACAGCAGGAGAAAGGCGTGCTTGGCAACTTCCCCTTGACATCAAGGTTAAGTTACTCCCTACTCCCTCGCCAGGTCGCCGAGGGCTGAGCGGGCAGGGACTTCGGCCTGCGGCTCACGGTTCGGGAAGTCGCAGGTACAGAGACAGCACAGGTGCCTGCCACCTGCGCACAGCGGCCTGCAGACCTTAAGTCTCGGCCTACCAAGAGGAGAGAGTCTGTACCTCTTCGCTGCAGCAAAACGTCCTGCGCCAGCCAGACAAGCGCCGCAGGAGCGCTCGGGGTTCCCGGCACTCTGAGCCCCGCCTGGACGCGGACACCAGACTACAACTCCCGAGCTGCCCCGCGCGCCGCCGGCCGCTGATT